TCCCCCCCCCCCCCCCCCCCCAATTCTTAAAAATATCACACATAGGGCTCAAAGAAAGTGACAATGACACTAAGAGAGGTCAAGGATCTTTCTCTTTCTTATTTTATGAGTTCTCTAATTCTATTAGTTCAGCACCCAGCTTGAAGCTTTAGATTGAACTTAAAGAGCCTTTTAGCTAAAGTGCAACATGTGTCATGATTCTAATGAACATGCTTTAAATTGAACTTAAAGAGCTCAGAGTAACAAGAGTTGAATTTCATCCATAACCAATACATTTATATTCCTCAAATTTTTAGTAATGGAGCTAAACTTATTAACATTTGATTTATTAGTGATACCTTTTTGCTTGCGTAGAAAAAAAAATATATTTTTTTGATGAAATATATCGATGAAACTTTTGGCTTCTTGCTAGAACGAAAAACCTTTGCTACTTATTTTCTCCAGGACTTCAGTCAAGATCTTTATGACCAAATATATTTATATTGGTGAGAGAGCTTTTCCAATTCATACTTTTCATTAATATTTAATATATGGTGTCTGAAAAACCTACTTTTTATTTGGAAGCACATGAACAAATAAAATAATAACAAAAATAAAGTCAAGCAGAAGGCATCTAGATTTAAAATATATTAAACAAAAATGTTGCCTAAATCCTTGACGAAGCGAGTAATTGACATATTGTTAAGAAGTTACATATGTGTCCAAGTTGGGCAGATTAAAATGCTTTCCCTAAATCAAACTATACCCATCACACTTTAAAAGAAGCCCCAACCGTAAGCAGTTTGTTTGTGTCTCACTATTATTTTCAGGGATCACATTTGACATGGGGCTAGTCATCTAACTCCATGTGGCTCTACAGTTGTCTCCCACTTTTTGTTTAGCTTTATCTGTGACCTCTCTAATGTGGTGCCTTCTGGTCCCGAGTTTGGTCCCAACTCAGGCAATTGGTTGCTCACTATGCTTGTAGCTTGCATGATCTTGCTCACTATGCTTGTAGCTTGCATGATCTCGTTGTTCTACTTTGTGGGCAATTCTTGTTGAGCCCTCACCTTCATTTTGACGATACCTTATGATGCTGGCTTCTGTGTTTGTGGTATTCTTATTTCTTTAGGAATGATTCACTCCTCCCAATTTCAGGGACTTTACATCCTTTTCTCCATCTTCTTTCCCATTCTTGGTGAGCTTTCCACTCATCTTTGTTGTAATGCACATTTTTTTAATCTGTGCTTTACCTACCGTTCAAATTTTCTACTTGGACTTACATGCTTTGCCACCAGTTCTTTAACGTGCCCCTCATCTTTCTCTCTCTTTAGCTATTCCTTGGGTTTTGGATGAAACCCCAATTAATTTACCTCCCTCAATCCTGCTGGAACCTTCTTCAAATCCTCGCACTTGCTCTTTTGCAATTTTTTTGGTGGGCCAAATATTTTATTCCCACCAAACAATAGTTCCACCTATTTTTCGTTCAAAATGCAATTTCACAATCTCTTAAGTTGCCTTCCAGATATCAATGTAAACTAGCCCTCATCTTCACTAATTAGAAGATTAGTGAACTTTCTAGACCTCTATGTTTTCTCATTTTTGATATTTTATTTGGGCTTCCTAATATAGAAAACTAATTATATTTTTTTGTCTAATTTACTTTTGATCGGCTTCCATTCTATTGGGATCAAGGAGCCAATCATATGGTAATTAAACTACTCTTTGAAGGCGACATTAGTTTTTTTTTGTCGAACTTACTGTGGCAATGGTTTTCCATTGTATATGATAAAATGATTGCCCGTTATGTAATACTGACACTCATAAAAATGTGTCATACCCATGTCAGACACGTATATGTCGGCCGTTTTATGAAAGGATAACTTAATTTAGGTTTAAATATATGAAATTTTGATTTTTGAAAGTAGCATTTTGATTTAAAAATAGGTGAGACCAAACGAGTCTCACATTTTGAATATTTTGGGTGACTAAACACGATACATTTAGTAATACATTTATCCCGAAGAATAAACATATCACTTATAGTAGACTCAATCATCTAAACTAAAGAATTTCTAAACTAAAGAATTTGTGTCTAAACTAAAGAATTTGTGATATCCGTTTTGGTCCGCAAAATATTTTATAAAAAGGCCAACAAGTTCCCCTACCTAACATAAAAATCAGATAGAGTTTATTTTATCTGGGTTCCATGTTCCCTACAGAAGCAATCTCCTATAGTTAATTACATCTTAAATGACCGAAATCACTTAAGAAAACTCTCGCTTCAGATCTAAGGTTTTGCTTTTAAGATTTTCAAAGTTTAGGGTTTCCAAGGTAGGACATGAGAAAATCAAACGAGAGTGGTTCAACTAGGAACATTTATTTAAGGAATCTAAATGGAAGAAAAGTATGGAAAATCACAGATCTGAGGAAAACCCCGGTGATCTCCCAAACTATTCTATCGTTCGGCTTTACATTTTTGAAATGAGGTTATTTGATTTTGAATCCTGCAGTTTATTTAGAATTTAGGACTTATAATTACATGATATAAGACTGTACAAATAGCGTAAAAAGATAAGAGAATTTACACTGTACCGTACAATAACCTCGGAATCCTAAAGTGTTAGGACTTATAATTGCACAACAGTGTTGTACAAAAAGCTTAAAAGATATGTGAGGGATTACGTTGCGCTAGACAAACTACCTCGAAGTCTTGTGTTGTTATTTAAACTAAGGAAAGTGCTCAGTGATGTGGAATTGTTTTGCTGTTGCATATTCACCTTGAAGTTGTTCTCCTCGTCGTGTTGCCCACGATGTTCACTCCAAGCTCCTCGCTGTAGCACCTCCAGGTTTGTTGTTAATCCTATATATAACCACTAGATTTTTCTATATTAAGGTATAGTGTGTATCAAAACAAATAAAACATGTGATATAAAAGAGGAAAGAAATAATATAACATGCTAGGAGAACAATATAATATGCTGTGAAATAAAATGCTGTAATGTAAATTAAACCTGTATATTTGAGAGGGCCGCTGCTTCTTTAAGGTTAGCTAGTATGTGCTTTGTAAACAGGAGAAAACACGACTTAATAATTCGAGAAAACCGACAAATCGTAGGAAAACACAAACAAAACAAAACACAATATCTCATATAAATGACCAAGAATATGAAATTTATATGTGATATTGAGAATGTTCCCAATTGCAGGAGGAGTGTAAGATTCAAGCTTAAATCTCGGAGCATTGAGTTTCATTTTTGGTCAAGTTAAGACAACAATTTCATTATTTGATTTAATTAAATCAGTCATGAACCATAACCTAATGCACCCTCGTGTCTAGTATCCTAATGAACTTATGAACTAGAGTCAGATGTCTGACTTCTTAGGTTCATTTGAAAATTAGGATGATGAACTCTCTCTCAGGGTGTGCTCCTAAGACCTAAGAAGCCTACACTTTAGTTTGAGTCTGAAGTGTTCCCTGAAATGTTCTAAAGTGTCCATCTTCAATTAAGTGTCTTTCAACTGATTCTCGAACATCTTTAGATCAAGCTTAACTCGCTATCAGACTCCTAAGACCTAGGGGTAAATCTATAATTTTGGCAAAAATGGTGTGAAATGTGCTTCAATTATAGTTAAAGCAATTGGGTTTAAGTTTATTCAAAGCTTAAGGGACCTAAATGCAAGTCTACTGATCTTTCAATCCATGCTCTTAATTGTCATTTAAACTCTTAATTTCTTCCAAATCTCAACTGTTCTTCCAATTACAATTTCATCTTTCTTATGCAAAAGGAATGGTGTATGGTTTGCTATCCTATCTTCTCTTTAGGTTTCTATCATCTCAACAGACCAAATTTCATTTTTAATTTCTTCTCCCTTTCTCTTTTCTTCATATTTTTCTTTAAGACCATGAATCATTTCTGAAAATAATTAAATTGAAAATTCTAATTTTTTAACTTGACCGTTAAAAAAAAAACAAAACAAACGAAAAAAAGACCGATCCACTTTTAGAAACAAAGTCAAATCAGTAAAGCCTAGAGCGAAATCACAAGTGTATCAGCCTAAAGGCGTTAAAAACTTGTTAAAAAAAGACCGAATCAATCTCAAAAAAGGGTTTAAGAGCCTCAAAATGTAATTTAAAACTTCACGAATAAAGCTTCAGAATGTGGCGAATAAAACTTAAAAAATGTAGCCCAAACATATTAGTAGAAAGTGCTCCAAGTACGGCTCACCCAATCCATGAACCGACCTTCACAGCAAAGGTGAAAATTCACCACATTAAGATTTGCGGCCAGGGACAATGAAGGGGAAAACCAATCCCAAACCAAACATCTTCAATCATAAAAGAACTAAAGAAGAAGGCCGACATCCGTAAGAGCTAAAAAAAATCATAATTTAAGCTAAATCAAAACCAATACATGGGGAAAACAGAGAAATATT